TTTGCAACAAATCGGTAGGAATGAGTCGGGCTAGTGTTGCCCGAAATGTTGTTGCTAGACGCTTTGGAGCCGTTTGCAGCAGTCTGGTAACTCCAGGGACCGACCCAAGTCATGACGTCCACATGTGACGTCATTAGTTCAGGAAAATTACATTCGGATTAACACTTGAAGAACCGCTTCAAAACCGGATTACCGAGAATCAGTCGGAGAACTGCGAGAAACCGCCTGCTTGAACCGCACATTCGTCCATGTCAGTGAGTTTACATCTGGAACGGCATTCCCGAAACATTTTCAACAATATGATCCATGTGTCGTTGGTGCTTTCACTCAGACAGGGTATATCAAGGAGAAGTCACGATTTGAGGAAATAGATCAGGCTAGATTGGATGAGATAAGTTGGACAACTGGAATGGCCTGAGAGCGTGATTCAAGCACCAAACTTTAATTTGAAAACCGCCTTGATAAAGTTTGGGAAGTAACGAAAGGAGTTTCACAACAACATCGGAGAGACGTCAGATCAAGACAATGTTACAAATCATAATTAAGTATAGAATATGATATGAATATAAAGGCAGATATGCTTGAGTTGGTATAAACTTACTTAAATTAGCAAGGAAATAGTAAGATGTTCAGAAGCGAACCTAGCAGAAGAGAAACTGTTGGTAAGAAAGCTAGAACAGCATTAACACCAGTACCAAACACCCCATCGTTACTCGTGTATGGAGCTTATACGGCAGCTGTGGAAGTTGGGATTTTGAAAAAAGAAGTTTGGAAAATGATTTAAACCGGTTCATGACTATTTCCGATGAATTTAAACATTGTCTTCGGTGCTAAATTCAAAGGATGACAACATGGAGCGGGATGAAACATCCATTTAAACAGCTAGTTTGGTATAGGAACATGTCGAGTCTTGAGACGTCGTAGTGAACGCTTTGCGATTGAACAGCTGCGTCGTTGAAAGGGAGCGTTTTGGTGGCGGAGATGTGATGGTCTGGGGTGGTAGTTGTGATGGTAACCGTTCCAAATTTATTGTAGTGCCTGGGAGTTTGAATGGGGTGCGCTATACTCCCATTTTCACAGCGTCATGGCTCTGGAGCTTTTTATTCAACAATTGCAACAATTCCGCTTGCAATTCGCGTGAGCAGAATATTTTTCCTGTAAAACCAGTGTTGGATTAGCCATCTAAATCACCCGACATGTCGCCGATAGAGCATGTTTGAGATACTCTAGGGCGAAGCGTTAAGAAACCTAATTAATTATTTTCTATTCTCCGGAAAATGTTCGGTGTACAATTACCATTTTTTTCAAAACATTTGAATAGAATAAATATCCCTTAAATATAAAAAGGATGAGTCCTCTTTGTTTTCCTCCTCGGCTCAAGGTTATTACTTCTAAATTGTGTAAGTCTAAGGTTTCATATGATCCAGGTACTATGGTTTGGAAACAACCATGTGATTTATTGACCTTTAATGCTCTTAGCATGCTTTTATATATTGAGAGAATGAAAATAAATGTTGTACACATAAATCCTCCTCAGGACCAACGTTAAGTCGTGATAGCAGTGCTTGCAGACACCTCTCAGTTTTGAACCTCAGACTAGCCCTATCGACATGGTACATGGTCTCGCATGTACAATTCTGCAACTATCTATTCCTTGAACAAAAGCTTTTGTGAAGCCATTTTACTGACCATTCGATCCCTTTCTAATGTCTGTGTCGGAAACACGCCTGATATCTCCATTTAGCAGTCTCAATTACGCTAGATTAAGTGTAACGGGAATCACAGACGCCCAGGTTCTATCATTTAGTCACATACTTTTGTACTGTACAATTGTATTCCGCGCAGGGACTTCACATCGTGCCGATCGCATTGTCTGGTCTGTGATATTGAGTAGACCTGAACCATTCTAGATGAGGTTACGGTCGACTACGTCGTATACATTGCTACATGTATCCACACATCTTTCAAAGCAACGCTGTTCAGTTTCGCCTGGAAAACAACCGACAAGCAGAATCTGGCTCATATGTAAAAAGAACACTGTTACGTTTTATAAACACCCGACGATGGTCGGTGACGAAGTGTCAATATTATAGTGTTAAAAGCGCCGCACTTTTAATTGGTCTATTTTCAAGTGATTTTAGATGGTTTTGGCAGATACAGGACTGCCAGGTAATGTCCTCGAGATTTCACCCATAACAGCTGTATCCAAGCGGTCATATGCGGGGTTTGCCGCTTTGCGGACGGTCGGACGTCTACCAATTAGGTACAGACGAGTTTCTAGCCACACATGTACAGTGAACGCGACGATAACAGCGTTGCAATGTCGTCACATTGGAGATGTGTACCGACTGATAAGGTGTACGAGCTAGGGTGCTGTCTCATTCATCGTTCACACTTGGGCTAGCTCCCGCGTGTTAGACGCCTTGTTTGGAAGTTTCTTAACGCATCGTTTTACTGCAGAAAACTTCTTCTGCTAACGCGACTGGTAACTAAGCGCAGGCGCATATATTATCTTCTTGAAAAATAGCGTCAGTGCCATGTCGTTGCAAAAAATAAAAAGCATACCGAGTATTGTTTAAGCAATACATGACCCCTACCGGCCCCCGCTAGTTATAACACTGTAATGATTTACAAAAATGTTGCCCTTTGGTGTTAATTTGGGAAAATGAAAAGTATACAATTAGCTTGTACCTGAACTATATCGATTATGGAATTTGTTATCGATAATCGGAATAGAACAGGACAAATCGATCGATGTTCGATTATTATATATCGATCATCAGTCCATCACTGGCTTCAACTTGTCCAGGATTTTGTATTAATAGTAACGGTGGCCTTGACCTCAACTCTACAACCCTGAAACTCAAACTTGTCCGAGACATTATGGTCCTTTGTTTGAAGTTTGATCCAAATCCCTCAAGGAATGAAGCTGCTAGAGCGCTGACAACGGATTTTCTAAATATAGTAATGGTGACCTTGACCTTATGCCGACAACACTGACACTCAAACATCTCTGAGATATTATGGTCTTTTGTAGTTGTGTGAAGTTTGATCAAAATCTCTCAAGGATTAAGGCCTCTAGAGCGCTGACAATGGATTTTCTAAAAAGATTGTAACGGTGACCTTGACCTTGACCTTGACCCGACAACCCTGAAACTCGAATTTCTCCGAGATATTATGGTCTTTGTAATTGTGAAAAGTTTGATTACATTCCTTGATGGAATGAAGTCGCTAGAGCGCTGACAATGAATTTTCTAAAAATAGTAACGGTGACCTTGATCAAAAAACCCTGAAATTCAAACTTGTCCGAGATATTATGGTCCTTTGTAATTGTGTAGTTTTGATCAAAATCCCTCAAGGAATAAAGCCGCTAGAGCGCTGACAACAGATTTCTAAAAAGAGTAACGGTGACCTTGACCTTGACCCAACAACCCTGAAACTTGAAATTGTCCGAGATATTATGATCCTTTGTAATTGTGTGAGGTTTTATCAAAATCTCTCAAGGAATGAAGCCTCTAGAGAGCTGACAATGGATTTTCTAAAAATAGTAAAGGTGACCTTGACCTTGAATCAACAACACTGAAACCCTTTCTTTGACCGAAAACTTTAGAACAATTACATTAATTAACGTTTTTGACCAGTCAGTAGTGTAATTCACAAGTTATATGCAAAAACACACGAACACCTCATAGGGCTTCCAGACATTCACCCTTCAATATTTTAATGAATAATGTGTCTCTTGTTAGGTTTCCCATATCTTTATACTACAAACTCGACGTTTGATTCAATCAATATAGAGGTATTCCCCATGGGAAAGTGTTAACCTTTCCTTTCTTACTTGGTATATGTTTCTGAACACTTCAGACCTGGCTTTTTATTATCTGGCCTTTAGTACCACTGGTGAGTTGTAAATGGACATAATGGCCGTATGGTGCTGTAGAATGCATTGCATCCTTAATTCCTCTTTATAGTGAATACAGTACGACAGTCAGGTGAAGTGTTTGGGTCTATCCGGTAGGAAGCCAGTACGACAGTCAGGTGAAGTATTTGGGTCTATCCAGTAGGAAGCCAGTACGACAGTCAGGTGAAGTGTTTGGGTCTATCCGGTAGGAAGCCAGTACGACAGTCAGGTGAAGTGTTTGGGTCTATCCGGTAAGAAGCCAGTACGACAGTCACAGTACGACAGTCAGGTGAAGTGTTTGGGTCTATCTGGTAGGAAGCCAGTACGACAATCAGGTGAAGTATTTGGGTCTATTTGGTAGGAAGCCAGTACGACAGTCACAGTACGACAGTTAGGTGAAGTGTTTGGGTCTATCCGGTAGGAAGCCAGTACGACAGTCAGGTGAAGTGTTTGGGTCTATCCGGTAGGAAGCCAGTACGACAGTCAGGTGAAGTGTTTGGGTCTATCTGGTAGGAAGCCAGTACGACAGTCAGGTGAAGTATTTGGGTCTATCTGGTAGGAAGCCAGTACGACAGTCANTACGACAGTCAGGTGAAGTGTTTGGGTCTACCAGGTAGGAAGTAACCAGAGATTGAGGAATTCCCTCAGTGCTCGGAGACAGGATGATATGGAGGATAAGATGGAGATCGGGTACAAATTTACATTTATTTAAAGGTGGCAGGCATGGAACTTTCTGCGGTCTTTAGCGGATTTGCGGTACTGGAGGATATTGAGAACCATAGAGGGATCAGGGTAGCATCAGCGACACCAACGGCTGTGGTTCCGGCAAGAAAATGTAAAGATTGAGCATCAGTTTTAATCAAGAGATTGTTCCTGGAGGGAATAGCATGGTACATATTTTGAGAGCCTGTCCCTAATGTCACCTCAGTGCTGATTTCAGGGGAGATAACACTTGACTGATGTTGGATGCATGTCTGCTGTACTATCTGTGTAGTGGTATAAAGGTTCAAATGTATAGAGACTGCTGGTCAGATTTGCGCTTACAAAAACCTGGCTCAATATGTACACGCTAAGATCAAATAAATAACAACTAAGGATGTGTCTGTGAATCGTCAGTTTAATAGTGGGTTCAATATTGCACAAGTAGGAATACATCCATAGTTACTATTCCTCAATCACATCAATATTAACAATACAATATAAAATGGCCAATGTAGAACTCTACTATTAAATGACACAAAATAAAATGCGAATATAAGCAAGTCTGACTCCTAAATTGGTTCTAAAAGAAAATAGGCTGCAATGGATGTATGATAAAAATCGGAGATGTCCTGGTAAAGTTTCAGTAAAATAAAGTTAGTGTGATGATAATTTGTTATTTTCTTCTGCAAGTTGGAAACACACTGAACACTCTTTAATCAAAACTTATTGATAAAAAGAAACAATAGCTGATGACCCTATTGTGTCAGAATAAATAGAGAGGGGAAGTAACTCATGCATTACATTTAAGCTAAGGAAGAAATATTGACACATTGGCAATAAATTTGTGAAATTTTCAAAATCAACAAACGTGTTTTATATTGTTTCTAATGTATGATTGATTATTCCAAGCTGAACTGACAATAAAAATGATTAAGCTTTACATTAAATATTACTACATCCCTCGTCTCTCTACAACACTTCGTAGCATGGGTTACTTTCAATCACAATTTGAAATCGTATCCCAGTAAGATTTTATCTCCAGAAATACACAAGTAATAGAGAATGATATTATGATATTAAACGTGTCAGAAATACACAAGTAATACAGAATGATATTAAATGTGTCGTAAAACCAAGTAATACAGAATGATATTAAATGTGTCAGATATACACAAGTAATACAGAATGATACTAAATGTGTCAGAAATACCTAAGTTAAACAGAATGAAATTAAATGTGTCAGAGATACACAAGTTAAACAGAATGAAATTAAATGTGTCAGAAATACACAAGTTAAACAGAATGAAATTAAATGTGTCAGAAATACACAAGTAATACAGAATGATATTAGATGTGGCTGACTAGTCGTGACAGTAACTTTTCACTGTCACATTCCAATAGAGTTTCTAAATATTTATATTTTCAAAAATTCCCAACCAACGTTCTGGAATGAAACAATTATATCTGGCACAAGATCAAATGGCATGTATTTATATAACACAATATGGTACATAGGCAGTTTTACCAGAAGCCAACAGTATACTTACTGCAAACATTAATATTTACTATGCCTGCGTATTTAATACTGATACCACAAACAGTAGCAATCCCAACGGCAGATAAATAAACTTCACACAATCTGATTATTCCTTTAACCTCACAAATACACTCAGCTGCTACAACGAAAAATATCCTTGCTTGTCCGTATCATTTCTTAGTGTAGAATATCCTTGCTTGTCCGTATCATTTCTTAGTGTAGAATACTCATCAAGTTCATTTTAAAATATTGGCAAGTTTTGCAGATTTAAAATCAGTCCGTAACTGGATAATGGATAATAATACAGTCTTGTCTATGCCCGCCTGTATAAGAAACAAAAAAGAAACTTAAAAAGAATTTTAGATTTTTTTTAAAGTATCCCTGGGAAATGATTTTAATATCAATCAAAACAGAGCAACAAAGTTTACGAACTAGATACCACAACATTTACACTGAACTTTCTTTATTTGGGTTATTCTTTCATATTTTACATATTAAAACTTTCTTTACAAAAATTGACACAAAATATATTTATTTTCATTTCTTCTTAAAAGAGACACAAATCATTGGGATTGATATGTCTCATCTGTGACCTGCTTTGACCATCAATGCACATGTCAAGTTTGGTAAACTAACTTAAACACAAAAACTGAATGTTGATGGAGATGCTGACCAAAGTCAATGGACCATGAAAGGTAGGTCGCATCCAGTATTTGATGCATAGGTTGAGATATACTACCCAAGATGTATCTGTGCTCCAAGTTTGGTTGGTCTAGCACTTACACTTTCAGTGAAACTAACTTAAACCCCCAGGTTTAATGTTGACGACGCTGTCGCCAGAAAAGCAACACCTTTGTCTCGCTTTCACTACTTCGTGGCAGCGAGACAAAAATAACATCACATGTAATATAAAGTCAAAAATGCAGGGTTTATAGTACTGAGATAAAAGTAGATAACACTTTTGATTAAAGGTCAATGAACTCACCAACTGTTCACCACTGCAGACCTGTTTAAGGTTTTCTGGTACCACCACTAACAGGTTACACAGGGCGTGGAGTTTCTCAAACAGCTCTGTTACCATGGGAATCTTAAAGTCCTTTACACTCTTCCGGTACTCATTCACATCACATATCACTAACATGGCACCTGTATGTCAAAAGCATGTAATTAGTCATGAAATATATTCCTAAACTCATTCACATCACATATCACTAACATGGCACCTGTAGGTCAAAAGCATGTAATTAGTCATGAAATATATTCCTAAACTCATTCACATCACATATTACTAATTCATATATAACATGGCACCTGTATGTAAAAACATGCAATTATTCATGCATTTGTTTTCTAACCAAAGCACTGACATTTACAAAAACATTGGTGAACTCCAGAACGTATCACCACAGCTGTACACTCAGTACCTACCAAGCGAGTTGTACATGAATCCTTGTAGGTGGTCGAAGATGACCCGGTGGAGTCTCGTGCCGAGATCAGTAAACACAGCCTCCACATTCTTCCCATCCAAACTGCTGTGGATAGATCCTGATATTGTCCGCATGAAGTTCACAACCTTCAGACAAGCCTGGAGCAAACAGTAGATAGCATTAGGGTAAGATGTAGTCTGATCAATTGTTGTTGTTTGTACTAAAACTGTAGTAAATCCTTGTTATTTAATTGCAATATCAAGACTTCTATAGATCTGTAAATAATACTTCAATTGTAATACCATATCTTTAGATTATAAATTTTCTCATCACTTGCACGCAGGTGAAATCTTGAGTTGGTAATTATTTCCTTCCAATCAGTGACAATCACAATTACAGGATTATTTTTACCAATCAGTGATAATCACAATTACAGGATTATTTTTACCAATCAGTGACAATCACAATTACAGGATTATTTTTACCAATCAGTGACAATCACAATTACAGGATTATTTTTACCAATCAGTGACAATCACAATTACAGGATTATTTTTACCAATCAGTGACAATCACAATTACAGGATTATTTTTACCAATCAGTGACAATCACAATTACAGGATTATTTTTACCAATCAGTGACAATCACAATTACAGGATTATTTTACAAACACGTCATATCATCATATGGACAAGTAAAAAGTACTTAGGTCAAAGAACGAACTTTTTGATCTATTACATCATTTGACTTGTGATGTGTTGAGAAATTATATTTTCTAGCCATTAAGTAAGATGGGTTTTTTAACAAGATGCAAGTCATAGATTTATCAAACAAGGAAATAATAGTATTCAAGATTTAAGAGTTTTTATCAGTGTCTCCTAAATAGTATTTACATATGTTTATTGTACATCTGGTATATTGCAGTAAAAACAACTACTGTTTTTGTTGATACTAGAAATATAATTTCACATTAAGTCTTGGACCTTGCACCCGACTTGGAATTCTGCGATATTTTAGTATCAACAAAACCATTATTTGATATGTCTTTCTGCAGACACTTACTGGTGACACCATCTGCATGGCATCATTGTCCTCTGGTTTGAAGTCAGACTTCTTCTGCTCCGCGGCTAGAATATTTCTGACCCAGCCAGTAATGGCAGCATTAGAGCGGTCAAGACCCGTGTCTATCTTATTCTCCACCTGTTCTCGTAACTCTCTCTTCCTCTGTAAACACAGACTGTGTCTGGGAGAGGAACTGAAATAAAGAGAGCAGACTAACATCTGAGATATGTAATAATATGACAAATGTGAATACATTCTTTGTGATACGATCTGCTCAAAACTACTTTATCACAGGTATGTTTTTCTTCATGGATTGGTACATGTGTATTATTTTGCGATTGTTTTTTTTTTTTTTTTAATTTTATCAATTCCCTATTTCAATGTTTTATCTGATGACACATGTCCTTACAAGAGACGCCTGTTTAGTTACTGAAGCTTACATGACTAGAGGAACCAGACTGTCCATGAACTGTTTCTCAAACAGATGAAAGAGTGTGTTGGCCTGGCCTACTACATCAAAGAAGTACACCTCTGGCTGTGACTTGGGGTCAGGCAGGGGAATGGCTGTAAACAGAGCACATAGCAACAGAATTACCAACTTAATACTGACATCTGATGTTACAGTATAAAGCATTTAACCGTCAATAATTGTGTAGACACTCTTACTCTATGAAATATGTTGACCATTAAAATTGTTAAATACTCTTGTCAGAAATATGTTCCTGTTGAAAATGAAATATATCCTTACTCATTGAGATTTTGTTTACAAAACCAAAAGGCTTCTCCTTGAGGGCATTGCTATGCAATGCATTGTAAACAACCTTAAATATAATCAAAAATACCTTGTAATCCAAGTTCCACAGCGTAGTCTATATGCTCAATTACCAAGAACTGGACCAAAACCTCGAAGATTTGTACAGCATTCCCCGACATGTCTGAACTGCTGGACAACTAGGGGACAGAAAACAGGATTATAGTACCATGTGTACGTTGTAATAGTGTAGACAGAATGTTTTTTTACATATGTGCATGGATACAATAACTTGAACTAGATCGTTGTTGTTTGAAAACATTGGTTGCTTTTCCGATTGTTTGACTCTGATCACACTTGAAGGACAGAAACCTCACTGACAGTACAATAATTTATTGTAGATGTGACGGCCTGTTTTGGCTCCTATCACTGACAGTACAATCATTTATTGTAGATGTGATCGGCCTGTTTTGGCTCCGATCACTGACAGTACAATAATTTATTGTAGATGTGATCGGCCTGTTTTGGCTCCTATCACTGGCAGTACAATCATTTATTGTAGATGTTATTGGCCTGTTTCGGCTCCTATCACTGACAGTACAGTAATTTATTGTAGATGTGACGGCCTGTTTCAGCTCCTATCACTGACAGTACAATGATTTATTGTAGATGTGATCGGCCTGTTTTGGCTCCTATCACTGACAGTACAATAATTTATTGTAGATGTTATCGGCCTGTTTCGGCTCCTATCACGGACAGTACAATCTTTTATTGTAGATGTGATCGGCCTGTTTCGTCTCCTATCACTGACAGTACAATCATGTATTGTAGGTGTGACGGCCTGTTTCAGCCCCTATCACTGACAGTACAATCATTTATTGTAGATGGGATAGGCCTGTTTCGGCTCCTATCACTGAAAGTACAATCATTTATTGTAGATGTGACCGGCCTGTTTCGGCTCCTATCACTGGCAGTACAATCATTTATTGTAGATGTGACAGCCTGTTTAGGCTCCTATCACTGACAGGACAATCATTTATTGGAGATGTGATCGGCCTGTTTCGGCTCATATCACTGACAGTACAATCATTTATTGTGGATGTGATCGGCCTGTTTCGGCTCCTATCACGGACAGTACAATCTTTTATTGTAGATGTGATCGGCCTGTTTCAGCTCCTATCACTGACAGTACAATAATTTATTGTAGATGTGACGGCCTGTTTCGGCTCCGATCACTGACAGTACAATCATTTATCGTAGATGTGATCGGTCTGTTTCGGCTCCTATCACTGACAGTACAATCATTTATTGTAGATGTGATCAGCCTGTTTCGGCTCCTATCACTGACAATGAGAAAGGACTCCTCGGTCTTTATCATATTGCCTGTTTTATATGGTTCTCACCACTTTGCAGCGTTTGAAGGCATTCTTGGCCTCCTGTAGCAGACTTATTGTCACTTCCTGTGACAAGAAGGTCTCTCCACCAAAGTTCTCTATGGCAGGTCCAATGTTGATGTTGGTTTTGGTCATCGTCCCGATCTTTGCCTGTAAATCCCGTCTCAACTCTGACAAGCTGGGTCATGATAAATAAGCAAAATACCATACTGTACGAAGTATTACAATCAAAATCACATGATTCATCACACACATATTATCATAGGACTTTAGTAAGATGTGAATCTGACAAAGAATATTACAAAGGACGTCTTCTTCACCAACTGTTACCAGGTTGTAATTGAAGAGCTAAGGGGAGCCAAAGGGCACTGGCGTGTTACTGGTATGTTACTGGTAATATCAGGTAGTAACAAACGGCCTCTTGTCTTCCCACACTGAGACATCACTTACCCTCCTGACTGGATCTGTTTCTTTGTGTGATCTTTGCCATCATAGTATCTCTGCAGGTGTGCAGAGCATCGCTCTTTTAAATATTTGGTTTCAAAGCTAGAAACAACAATGAATCATGGTACAATAATTGAATTCATAGTAACATTCACAATATCTATATATTAATGTAAGATCACACATACAAAAATGTTTTTTTTAAATCAAGTAATCAGATCGATGCAAAGTTTTAATTAATCTACGTAATAGTTTATAACCAGGCTTACTATAATAATATTTTCAGTGTTGACATGTAAAAACAAACAAAAATAAAATAGCAGTCTGTAATAGAGCACTGAGTAACAGGTACACACACGGTCATTTGCCATCAATAAGCCCTTAGTACGGTGGCAAATGTTCTGAGAGGTTATAACTAGCTCCACAGAGGAGAGCTCTAAAAGGCAGCATTGGCAAAATCAGCCAAAAAAGTTACATATGATAGCAAAATAAAATAATACTAAATGCATCAAATACATGTGTATGTACACAAGGACAAGCTAATGAAAGCCTCTCACAGCAATCCTGATACCTACTTAATGTAAGCCTCTAGGTGCTTCACAAATATACTCTTGGTCAGTTTGGTCAGGAACAGGCTGTCATTTCCCATCTTAAATACTGATATATCTTCTGATAACTTCATCGTTCTGACAGGAAAGAACACAAAATAAACATTTTGTAACAGTCACAGAAATGTTTAATGATCCTTTTGTTATATCTCTTCAAGTTGGCATCAATAATACAAGACATTGAAATGTCATCACTGTAATTTATTTATGGGAGAGAGGTATTAAAAAACAAACTTTCCAGAGACAAATAAAATGTACGGATGATTTGCTTACTTAGCATATATAACTGACAAGATTACCTTGTGTAGAGTTGGAAAAGTGTTATAAGGTATTCCTCTGGGTCCTCTTTGGATTCCAGTTTGGATGCAATATGTTTCTGTTAAGGAAAAGAAAACAATTAAAATGAAGTATGGAAACTAATTAAGTTATAAAGCAGCCTCATGTAATCCTCACACGAAACACAGTGACAAATAGTTTCCTTTTCATAAGAGAGCGATGAAAAAATCCAGAACTTTTAATCACATTATCAAGAATGTATACCAATGTTTACACAGGTATTCATCAAGTACTCAGCATCATTCAATGTTACGCTATGTATTGTCTTTAACATCAGCGTTCTGTATTGTCTTCAATACAACATGGCAGAGCATGTCTTGCAAAAAGGAATATGCAAAATATATGTTGTAGGTGTAATCACAGCATACCATGGTGGTAATGTGATAAACAGTGCAGGTACTGTCACACTGGTCAAAGTCCATCAGCACAGCAATTAAATACACACTTCATCTTTTGTAGAAAGGTTCACATAGTATGACCAGTCAATTGTTTTTGTCTGATGAAGGTGACAGAGTACACATCGTACTAGTCAACGAAATGTCACAATTCAACACTTCACTGGTTGTGCTATTTGAGTCTGTATACAAACCACATTTACCAACCTCAAAAAATACCTGCAGTTTAGTGTTGTAGATAGTCTGTACAAATTTGGCCATGACTGTGTCTGGACTGCTGAACACACCGGTGACAAGGTCACTGGTCCTCGTACACAATGGCACCACGTCATCAAACGGATCCAACTTCTGGAACGCCCCCTGGTCAACAAAATCAGCGCGTAAACATTACACAAAACTGATTCTTTCATCACTAAAAGTTTTATTTTTGACAAAACATATGAATAATATAACAGAATTTAATGAAAATCTTCTAATAATTATCTTATCATAATTTTAGTGCTTGAAGTTACTGTAAGCTTTAGTCCCGAGTACTGTTGACTATAATAGGTTTACTGTAATAGATCAAATGGTACTTACCTTCATAGACTCCTCTATAAAGGCATCAACACATTCACCATAACCCTGGAATTATCACAAATTATAAGTCTGTACTATTTCCAGCAGAATATGTTCATTCTTTATTACTTAATGTTTATATCTTTTATACACTGTATTGGCAAAACAACCAGATACGGTCATACAACAGAAACAAAGGTGTTGGCTCCTTCTCCTTAAATTTTGTTTTAATATATCAAAATGAAAAAGTGATTATAGATTTTATTTTATTTTAAATTTAGTTTTAATATATCAAAATGAAAAAGTGAATATAGATTTTATTTTATTTTAAATTTAGTTTTAATATATCAAAATAAAAAAGTGATTATAGATTTTATTTTATTTTAAATTTAGTTTTAATATATCAAAATGAAAAATTGATTATATATTTTATTTTATTTTTAAATTTAGGTTTAATATATCAAAATGAAAAATTGATTATATATTTTATTTTATTTTTAAATTTAGGTTTAATATATCAAAATGAAAAATTGATTATATATTTTATTTTATTTTTAAATTTAGTTTTAATATATCAAAATAAAAAAGTGATTATAGATTTTATTTTATTTTAAATTTAGTTTTAATATATCAAAATGAAAACGTGATTATAGATTAAAGAGGCTCTATGTATTATTTGATATATTTAACAACAGATAATCATTTTTGTTTTATTGAAGTTGTATGTGTCCTTTCTTTTCAAGTTTTGTCCATTACAGGAATAGTATCATCTTTATCATTCTCAAAATAACATTACCATCCTCAAACATCTGACATCAACCTCAAATAAATGTTACCAACATTTACTGTGATACTCTGTATAAAGATAGCATATCAGTATTTCATACTTCTCACACTTAATTTCAAATAAGGAAGAAAAACACTGCTTTTAACAATATATTTTTTGAAACTTTTCTTACTTTGAAGTTAGACAAGACAAAAGCAACCCTTTTCATCTTCCGTCTGTCCTCATGACGATGGGCTATCAGAAATTCTGCAATCAACTCCTTCTCAATATGGAGGTATCGATCTGTGATCAAATACAAAGTTGTATAATTCCATGTAAACAGTATAAGTGAATACAAATGGATTAACAGGACATATACTTATAAGTTGATACTTTACACATAAGCCATCATTGACAATTTTGCGTGAATTCTGGAAAGGCTGCTTTGTATTATTTTTAATTTACAGTCAAGCCGTAACCTTCAAGTAATTGTGTTCATGATAGAATAATTACATCGGGTGCAGTTGGTTTATAGAACAAACACAAGTTACACAACTTAAATATAAATGTAGTCTATTGTAACATACCCCATATTTTCTTTCTGGCATTGTCGAATCTGTGAACACAAACATTTTTTTACTTCATCAATGAAATCTAGAATATTACATTTCGCAACATTACATAGCATGTAAAAGTGACATCAGTCACAAACAGAACCAAAAATGCGTCTATGATCTAACATCCGTACAGATGAGGTCTACCATTCAACTTGTTAATGCTATTTTTACCGGGTGAGAATGTGAATACCTGGTAATAGTTTACCGGGTGAGAATGGGAATACCTGGAAATAGTTTACCGGGTTAGGATGATAATACCCGGTAACAGTTTACCAGGTGAGAATGTGAATACCTGGTAATAGGTTACCGGGTGAGAATGTGAATACCTTTTAATAGTTAACCCGGTGAGAATGTGAATACCTGGTAACAGTTTACCGGTAGAGAATGTGAATACCTGGTAACAGTTTACCAGGTGAGAATGTGAATACCTGGTAATGGTTTACCGGGTTATAATGATAATACCCGGTAACAGTTTACCGGGTGAGAATGTGAATACCTGGTAATAGTTTACCGGGTTAGAATGATAATACCCGGTAACAGTTTACCGGGTGAGAATGTGAATACCTGGTAATAGTTTACCGGGTGAGAATGTGAATACCTGGTAATAGTTTACCCGATGAGAATGTGAATACCTGGTAACAGTTTACCGGGTGAGAATGTGAATACCAGGTAATAGTTTACCGGGTTAGAATGATAATACCCGGTGACAGTTTACCGGGTGAGAATGTGAATACCTGGGAATAGTTTACCGGGTGAGAATGTGAATACCTGGTAACAGTTTACCGAGTGAGAATGTGAATACCTGGTAACAGTTTACTGGTAGAGAATGTGAATACCTGGTAATAGTTTACCGGGTTAGAATGATGATACCCGGTAACAGTTTACCGGGTGAGAATGTGAATACCTGGTAACAGTTTACCGAGTGAGGATGTGAATACCTGGTAATAGTTTACCGGGTGAGAATGTGAATACCTTTTAATAGTTTACCCGGTGAGAATGTGAATACCTGGTAACAGTTTACCGGGTGAGAATGTGAATACCTGGTAATAGTTTACCGGGTGAGAATGTGAATACCTGGTAATAGTTTACCGGGTGAGAATGTGAATACCTGGTAATAATTTACCGGGTGAGAATGTGAACACCTGGTAACAGTTTACCAGTAGAGAATGTGAATACCTAGTAACAGTTTGCCAGTAGAGAATGTGAATACCTGGTAATAATTTACCGGGTGAGAATGTGAATACCTGGTAATAGTTTACAGGGTGAGAATGTGAATACCTGGTAATAGTTTTCTAATTATGTGGTGAGAGGTAGACGATAAATTAACAGTGAAAAATTCCTGCAATGATCTTGTAATCACAGACCAGTCATGTGACTAACATGTGATAATAAATCGGACGTGAAACCTGTGATTGATAAAAACAAGATGTAAACAGAATGGGTCTGAAAAACCCATTATTAAAAAATTAAGCTTTTCCATGAAACTATGAATTTGTTTTTACTTTTCTGCCACTGGAATTCATACTTCTAAAGCTATGTAACATAACTTACTTTTCTCCCACTGGAAGTTCCAAAGCTATCTGATATAACTTCTGAATTATTTCTGCAGCCAACTGAAGCTAAATGAAGCAGAGGTAAGATTATACACTACATGTATATACAGTCATACTGTTTATACACCATAACAAGAGTTCCGCGAGACGGTACATGATATGCCTGTAAGATGTAGAATGAGCAGTTTGCCACAAAGGCCATAAGTGCATAAATGTTGGAGAGATAAGCGTCTCTCAAGCTTGTCTGAGCTTTCATGGCAATGAACCTTCCTACCAAGTTTGAAATTAATCAAATGAACCTTCCTATGAAGTTTGAAATGAATCTATTCAAAATTACTGAAGCTATTGAGCAGAAACTGTTTCGGCAATTCTACAAAGGGCCATTACTGCATAAATAAGCGGCAAATAATTTTGGTTATCAAAATTGGCCGAGCTTTAATGGCAATAAACCTTCCTATGAAGTTTGAAATGAATCTATTTAAAATTACTGAAGTTATTGAGCGGAAACTGTTTCTGCAATTATACAAAGGGCCATAACTCCTTAAATAACAAGCGAATAATTTTGGTTATCAAACTTGTCCGAGCTTTCATAGAAATAAACCTTCCTATGACGTTTGAAATTAATCCGTTCAAAATTACTCAAGTTATTGAGTGGAAACTGTTTCGACAATTCTACAAAGGGCCATAACTCCGGACGGGCGTATAAAAATGTATAGAAACTAAACTGTGGTTCTTATGTAAATTGTTTCTCCGATTATATAAAATTATAGTTGATAGATATGTACTAGTGTATAAACAATATATACTATCAACATTTATACAAATAACACATTGCTTAATTCTTATATACATCTCCACTGTACTGACCTTACTATCTTTATTATACACACAGGTTTTTACTGCTATCGACTTATCATTTAAAATTCATAAATAGGCTATCAAAAAAACAACCTGAATATACCACTTATTATATAATTCTATAAACAAGAAATTTTACCTGAAAAGGATCAGTGAACACTGATGACTTAGGTTCATCGTAGTGGAGGAACTCATTGAAAAAGTTCATGAGTCGTTGGGCATCAACGGCCCGGGCCCTGGGCGTGTTGACACCCTCCAGCTGGTCTCCCAGGTGGACAACCTTAGTGGCTACCAAGTTGATTCTCTCATCCAGTTCTTGGAAGTGGGAATATGATGCCTAGAATAGAAGGACATGTTTTATTTTCATGACATACAAATTTACTACTAATAGTGTTTTTTCGGGGGTTTTCATTGATAAATGATTTTACTTATTTTATATGTATATATCTATAAATCAATATGTCACTCAACTTACTACGTTTCTGAAGATCTCCGACTCACCTTATTACGTTTCTGAAGATCTCCCACTCACCTTATTGCGATTCTGAAGATCTCCAACTCATGATCACCTTATTACATTTCTGAAGATCTGCCACTCACCTTATTACGTTTCTGAAGATCTCCCACTCACCTTATTAGGTTTCTAAAGATCTGCCACTCACCTTATTACGTTTCTGAAGATCTCCCACTCACCTTATTACGTTTCTGAAGATCTCCCACTCTTTGCCAGTGTCTTTTCTCTTCCTCCTTACAAGCATCTTCCAATTTTTCTACTTTTTTCTCCATCTGTGCATTTTTCTCCTTCAAATCCTGAATCATCTTCTCAAAAGAACCATGAAGCAACATCGGGTCAAAGTCATCATGGTTACTTCTACCTTTGGTTCCCATGGTACGCCATGCCAGCCTTTCCACAAACTCATGAGCATTGAAAGGCTCCTGTATAAGTAAAATTTATGAATGAAAAAGATAAAGATGATGCAATGATGATTCATGTACATTTCTTTTTTGTAATTACACAAAACGGTCCCTGGCAACAACCTCATGAATGTGGAAAAAGTGGCTCTATGACTGCGAACAATTTTGGAACTTGGAATGGAAATGGTGCGTGTTTACGGAGGGAACAGATATCAAGTCTGTGGAAGAAGAATACATTTTGCGTGAATATAGGAGGTTTGTGAAACCCAGCATATTTGCGTACAACAATTTGAAATAAGATTTTGATGCGAGAAAGTTAGGTGAGAATTTTTCGACATCAAGAGGTTTCCACCTTTCTAGTATATGTATGTAACCAGTAGGTTAGTGTGATAACAAGACAGACTCATTTCTCCTTTCTAATGATTCTGTATGTACGGAAAAAGTAACCTACAACATACAATACATAGACTTACACATTTGACTGGAACATATAGGAAATAGCTATGGTCTATACTGACAAATGGACATCAATTAATGTATAGTACATGATGTAAGTTACACAAAGACATAGACAAAGACTTATGTATATATGAACTGCTCTGTCTGAGTGATGAGTGCAGAGTGAGTTAGGACTGGGGAGTTGGATGATACGTGCAGGGAAGTGGACGAAAAGTCTGTGCTATACAATGAAAACCTCTCACTCATGTTGATGTTTACGTAGCTATAGACATTAGTGGACTCGATCGGTACATACATGTACATATAAATATAACGTGCACATGTACCAAGTACAGAAAGGTTACAGTGTACACGTATGTTACCTACGCTTGCTCTTAACCCTCAAACATATGAAATTACTCTGAACACCTCAGTTTATCTGTATTTGTAAATATGGGTACGAATAAAAGACAAATCCTGATATATAATTCTTTGGGAGAAAGGCTGGTTACTCTAGTAGTAATGTGTGAGAGTTTCTTTGAAACCCTCAACTGTCTCTGCATGCGCATATCGCATTCTCATCAAGATGGTTCCAATCAATAACAGCTCGTAGAAAGAATAAATGTTTGAATTGGTTGACTTAGCACTAGTTTTACTAATGAAACACTGAGAGTTATTTGTCACACTTTTTTGGACAATGTTTGAATGCTTAAAGTCTGAGTATTTAGTGGCTCGAATTTGGGATTAGCTTTATTCGGGATTAAGAAATCTGACAAGGTGATTGTCGGTACCATACCCCTGTTTAGCTTGCATTGATTAGCATCACTAGTTCTCAGGTTCGTGTACATGTAATGCTTCAAAAACACAAATCTCCCTATAGTCAAAGTCATCACATCGTCATATATGCTATATATATTTCACCTTATCCTTCAAACGTGTTCACTATGCAAAATTCTACTCACACTATAGTTACCCTTATCCATGAAAGAATCTAGTCTTTCATATAAAATTAACGGAAACTTTTCGGTAGTCAATGTTTACGTTACACCCCTTTTTAACAAGACGTCGAACGTTAAGACCAAACCATTAATTACCTGTTCTAGTTCCTCCAGCGACATGGCTATTTATCAGATGATATTATTCCCAGAACACTGCTAAGTCATGTTATGAGATGATAAAAATCATATTTCACTTTCAATTGTCAAATCGCAGACAAACAGACTGATGATCACTGTGGCCAGTGTTTACTCAGGTGGCCATTTCCGCCTGAAGAACTCTACCAAAGGGGAATAACTCCTTATATCTCGACGTCGGTGTATGACTGTTAACCGCTTACCTCATACTTGACAACTTTTGGAAATGCCCACGGGATAGATTACGCGTGCTCTGAATTAAAATCATGAACAAAATGTGTGTATGTACACCCTAGGGAAGAGTGAAAATTACACTTTTAAATGGCAACTTTTGAGCTGTTCTTAAAATAGGGAGAGTTGGAACGTATTATTCTGCACCCCCTACCTCCTCCGGAAAAGCATAACATCTAGAAGCTCTGGAGAGGGTACCTAGCTAGTGCTTTTTGAAAGCAATTAATATTTGAGTGTTTAATTCATTCAATATTTAGTTTATTTAGTTTTGTTTCAGAATGTCTGGAGAGAGAAAAAGAAAGAAACTGGATCATTATTTGATAACTTAAGGATAAGTATAATCGGTAACCAGTACCCTAGATTCAGAATACGCAATACCAATCGTTGGCAGTGGTTATGAAAATCTAAGGTTTATTGTAATGGACAGGAACGGTCAGATTTTATGGGTTTTTTAAACATACAATTATTTCATCACTATTTCTGACCTCACACAATAAACACAAATTAAACCTTGCACTTGAGTCTTTTCTTACATGGCAGATACACCGTCATACTACACTGGGTACGTACATCGTTCCGAGTAGAATGTGTGTAAATATGTGATATCAACAAGAAATAAGAACATCGTTATCAGAGATGACACACATAAGGTAGTGTTAGATACTGTTAAAGTCCTTATTTTAGCGGACTCGAATTTAAGCGTATTCATGATCGTATTTTTAAATATTGGCGCATTGATGAATTGGCGCACTTACACTCTATGCAATAGGAAACTATATACAGGAGCTTCAATTATAGCACAGTCATATTGCAGCGCAATGTTTGAAACGTATAAGCGCTAAAATAAGAATACCACTAAAATATATACGTTAACAGTATCGGGGTGTTTCCATGTACAAAGATTTAAATGTAAATATACGAGTTAGTTTAAACTGAAAAGAGGAGTCGTATAGTTCTATATTGTTACGTAACGGTTATCTTCTCCTGTTAAAGGCGGCAAAAGATGTAATCATGAGTTAATTTATTATACATCTTATACAACACTTCAAGTTTCCTCCGTTTTCTTCGATTAGATATACAAATATAATATCGTAGTATAAAGTATTAATAAGGGTATAAGAAGGAAGTCCTAATATAATGCCATCAGCTTCACGTTGAGGTTTTTTTCTAACTTTTCAGATTAAAATGTAGTGCAACCGTCCCGCAACTCACAATCACATTCTAACACTGGTAAAATTATAAATCACCAAAAAAGCATGCCTACTTAATAAGTGTTTCAGTTTGCAAGCGTATCATGCCGCCATATTGGAATGTACGTACCGAATGGTATGTATACAGCCAGTTTCAGGAATAAGGTAAGTGCCAAAACTCAGTTGCATGCGCATCTACAATTGAAAGTGTTTTCAGAAGGATATTAATTCGAGGTTCTTATATACCGCTTTATCACAACCAAGTTCGTAGGTCGTCTCAACGCGGTTCACAAATTATTATCCTTGGTTATAGGACCTTTGCAACCAGCAAATACCTTTCTCAACTCCCTGTGGAGCATACAGCCGGAGCTGCCGTTTCAGCGCTTACATGTATCATTCAACAATCCCAGCACTGCCCAACCACGTACTCTTTTACAGCTGAGCAGACTGGAACAAGCAAGATACAACACAGTGCCGTGCCATGACTCGAACCCGCAACCCTTCGGTCACGAGCCCGGCGTCCTACCACTAGACTACCGTGCCTCCATGTTGTACACGTAGCACGGATTTGGATCCAATTCTGTGATTGTTTAGTGAAGAGGGGACAATCAATCACCTGGGTCACATTCGGACCGGAGGTTCTACAAGACACACCAATACACACTAAACTGTAGGAAGCTTACACAGGGTTTGGAAGCTTCAGATCTACAGAATGTACATGAGTAGGGGGAAATGTGTCGTTGCTAGAAACATGGGGTATGCTTTTTAGAACGTTTATCTTATTGGAATTATGATATTGAAATGATTTTCGATCGAAAATGTGTTTCCTCTTTAATCCGATAGAGGTTTTAAAAACAACATAAGTTGCGTATTAATTTTCCATGCACGAGAACGTTGTTTCCCATTAGTGCACAAGATCATCGGTCAGCAGTTAAATAAGCAGGAAAAGCTTGCAATTCTGTGAAGGCAATTTCCCCCATGATGCTTTGTGGTAACCTGCTCGCATATATACAAAAACCCGTCCACCACCATTTGTTGTCCAAATTTTGTCATAAAGCTTGATAGTTATTGTTTAAATAAGTTCAGGTGAACTCACATGGAATGTATAGGTTTACAAGACAAGGAAGTTTTCCCTGGTAAATAAAAAGACTTGGCTGTTTGCCAATCTTACGGCTTACTTCATACTTCTTTTTTGGACATGACGGTATGTTTTAACCTAACGGCTTACTTGAGAGTATGTTATCGACTTAAGCTTGATAGCGTATCTTTACGGTATCGTCAAGTATTTGGCTTGGACTCGTTTGTTTGTGTTTTACACCTTATTAACAGCTATGACCTGGACTCGTTTGTTTGAGTTTTACACCCTATTTACAGCTATAACTTGGACTCGTTTGTTGTGTTTTACACCCCATTAACAGCTATGGCTTTGGCTCGTTTTTTTTTGTTTTACACCCTTTTAACAGCTATGACTTCAACTCGTTTGTTTGTGTTCTACACCCTATTAACAACTATGACTTGGACTTGTTTGGTTGTGTTTTACACCCTTTTTACAGCTATGACTTGGGCTCGTTTGTTTGTGTTTTACACCCTATTAACAGCTATGGCTTGGACTCGAATATGTCATTTCATAGTTCTCACATTTTAACAATATGACTTTTTCTTTATAATTTTGCATCAAGTAAAACGTGTTAACATGTTCATTCAACACGCTGTTAAACGGTAGTGAGTGGAGTCTATTGGGAGGAACCTGCTGAGTTGTTGTTGGTGTTGGTGCATGATGTTCGTGATTGTATTGGTGGTGGTAGCGGCGGTTGTGTCTATGTTTGCAGTGGTTTTGGTGGATTAAAAACTTTATCTTCGTATGGCTTTAATATCCACGGTTATTAACCAATCAAATGTATGTGTAAAATGTGTTGATCAAAAATTGCTTTCCAATCAAATGTGTACGTTTCAAATTTGTTATTTAGAGTAATATTTTTAATCGATTTAAAAAAAAGAGATTATGGCAACAATTTTAAAGCTATTTTTATATGTTGGTGTTGGCTTAGTTATTGTACCACCGGAGTTCTATTGGAGCCTAGTTAAGTGATTGGTGTCAAGCTGTGATTATTCTCAATCTATACCAGTTATCGCTGACGAAGTTTCTGGTGGTGGCGAACTCGAGTGATGGGGCTGATTGCAGTATTACTCGTGTCGATGACAGTAACAATAATGTTACAAAAACGTTTGAATATCCACCAAATTAGAGTAGACTATTTGGAGATACTTAATGTTTTACAGATAACGAAACTTGCCAAGGCATCGGGTGAGGATTGAATTTGAGTATAATATACTGCTCAATCCCTGTATGCCACTGTAATATTGTTTAAGTTGTTATCTAGAGGTGTGCATGTTAACCCACATATATGGAAACTAGCTAGAGTCATGTCCATTTGTTTAAACAATGTAATAGGCATTCCTTGTCGAACTATCAATTAATTTCCCCTCTTTCAACAGTCGGCATTGTGTAAGCCTTGTCCTTTGAAGAGGAATCCCAAGGGAATTATTACCATGGTTGGAAAACTACATGCATCAGAGACAACAAAAAAGTATTCATCCTCGACAACTCTTTTTCTGTGGGTTATATGGAGTCAAATCTTCTGTGTGTTATATAGAGTCAAATCTTACGTGTGTTATATAGAGTCAAATCTTACGTGGG